TATTCTTGACCACCTCCCCCCCCCTCTTTTCCAACTATTTACACCAACAGTCTCTCTTTCACCCTCACCTCTACAACCCCCTCTGACACCACCATCTCATTTATGCTTCGAAGAAGAGGTCTGTCAACCCTGTCATCAGTATCACATTTGGCCCCATAACTCTCCCTACCCCAACTCCCCAAAGAGCTCATTTTTCCCTTTTCAATATAGATAACATTTATCAAGGACAATGAAAATAAAATAATACTGCAACAAACGTTGCAGATAATGGTCAATAAACTTAAAATAATATATTATTGTCGTTTAATGTCACAGATCTTAGTTTCTTTAACAGCTACACCACATACGTGCAAGATCAGTTCAATGTCGTTATTGTGATCGTAAAGCTTCAGCAAACCAAACTCCTGACGAGGGTTCTCATGGTCTAGAGGTTAGGTGTGCGCCTGTCGTTCAACAGGTCCAGGGTTCGAAACCTGTAAGCGATGGAACATCTTCTTCTCTAAAGGTGTCTCCTTTCACCTCCTTTCACCTCCTTTCCTTCTCTCTAACCAAGTTCGGTTTTCTGTTTTCGTCTCCACTTTCTGTCCCCACCCCTCTCCCCCCTTTGCTCCCTCCTCTTGGCACTGACTCTTTCTGGAGCCTTTCTACTGCTATTCCTTGGCACCTTCTTACTGCTAGCTTTCAAACGCAACCCTTATCTTAGGGTAGGTACAATCTAAAAACTAATTTTCTTGGATAACGGCAAAAAATATCGAAGATCCTTTGTGCAAATTGCGCACTTTAAAGATTCATTTGTGATCCAAAATCGATAACAGCAGGCTTTGGCGGCCACCAGGGCAACATTCAAAGATATTTCTTACCAAAAATGCTCATACGACCTTATACAGTTGCAAAGGCCGCAAAACACTTACCAAAGCGAATCAAAACTCCTGAACACCTCGAGCACGAATCAAACCCTGAAACATGTATGTATTGAGGTGTTAAGGAGTTCTCCCAAGCATCCTACTCTCTCTCTCTCTCTATCTCTCTCTCTCTCTCTCTATCTCTCTCTCTTCCTATCTATCTATCTATCTATTTATTTATCTGTCTATCTGTTAACACTCTCCCTATCCCTCTTCCAAAACAGAAAGAATTAGAAAATATTTAAACAAATCAAATCCCTTTACATATTACCATGCGTGCATAAATAAAAGCAGAATTACAACAGTCAACCTTACGTGATGCCAAAAGTACAAAGGGCCCTCTTAAAGGGCAATGAATCTTTCAGCTTTGGACAAATGTCAACAAAACTATGAATCGATAAAAATCAACCAGAGGAGGCATTTTTTAAACATGTAGAAAATAAACTAGGACGTTAACAAAATAGAAAGTAAAAAAACAACAAACAAACAAACAAAATACACAAAAAAGCGGTGTTATGTATTTGTGCATTGAATAAGATATTGTTATGGTGTGCGCCTGTCATTCCAAAGGTCACGGGTTCGAAACCTGATAGCGACTGAAAATTTTATTATTGATACAAACTTGACCTTGCCAAACTTAAGAGGTGATGGCTCTTCAAATTGTATTTTCTAAATGTTGATGATCTGCCTCTAGACAGGCTCTAATGCTTCACAATAATTTTAAATAATGTTTCTATACTGATTTAGACCTCGTGTTTAACAATGAGTTACAACTTTTTGATTGTTTGCGGATCGTTTCGATGGGAAAGCCCCGCACTATCAAAGACGCACACTTTTTAACGACATCAATACAATGTAAATGCCAATATCATCCAACATTTACATTCACTTTGACACAAATTATTCGGAGGCTCTCATGACCTAGAGGTTAAGGTGTTGGCCTCTCATTCAAATGTTACAATGTTAGAATGCTGTTCTGTTCAGATGAGTGGAAATTTAAAAAAAAAAGAATTAGTTGAGGGGGTTCAGTCGTCTGGGTGGGGGGCTCCAGTGGCTAAGTGAGTAGTGAGTTTGGACTCAAGTAATGTCAAGCAAGTGTCGGTGACACGGGGATCAGCTAGGTGGTCACTGGGGTGTGTTCACGACAACCCTAGCTCAAAATACAGGGCGCTGTACAGTGGCAAACGACAGTGGCATGGTTGTAAACTGTTCTGTATTTGTGTAACATTGTGTGTTTATGTATGTATGAATGTATGTATGTGTGTACGTACTTATAATTATATATTTATGTATGAAAATGTATGTTTGCCACTATAAAACAAAGTACCCTTCTGGGACAAAAACAGTGTAATTTTATATATTAAATTTTTTTTTTATATGGTGATAGATTAATCAAATTGTAAGCTTTCGGTGTATAAGGCGTTGCCAAAAACTTTCTTACAACTTTAATGGATTGTGACCCCATCCTACGTGAACCTGGCCTCCCCAACAATATAACCCCTTCTCCACTTCTCCCAAAATGTCTCTAAAACGTTCACAGTACAATATAATATTATCCATCTGGCGTGACGGTTCTGGTTTTACCATCCTCCCTCTGTAACCAGAACACGCCGACCTTGCTCGTGTAGCTCATTTTTTTTTCTTTGTGTGT